TTCATACCACCCCAATCAAAACCAACAGAGTATACAATAACGATCTGGTAGCAGTTCATAAGAAATATAAGATGGAACCTGAGCTTAATTAGCCAGCAATGCAATACGACTACTGAAAGTTAATCATAGTCACAATGCCAGGACTCCTAGTAGGAAACAATACAAGATGACTATCATCCCTTATTCAAAATGCTTAGAACCAAAAGTGTGCCAGTGTTCCAATTTTTTTTTTTTTTTTGTACTGGGGATCAAACTCGGGTCCTTGTGCGCATAAGGCAGGCACCAGAACCACTGAGATAAATCCCTAGCTACAAGTGTTTCAATTTTGAATTTTGGAATACATGCATATACATAATGACGTACCTTGAGGTTGGTACTCAAGACTACACATAATATTTATTTCACAGATGGCGTAAAGGTAATTTCATAAAAGAGTATTGGTAAACCTGTATTCTGATTGTGACCCTATGGGTCAAGTGTGGAATTTTCTACTTTTGGCATACTGTTCGTGCTCAAAGAGTTTCAAATTTTGGAGCATTTCAGATTTTGAAGTTTTGGATTAGGGAAGCCCAACTTGAAACTTGTACTTCAAACTGCTGGGATCATACCTTACAGAGTGCCTGAACTCTGAAACACTTATTGAGGAGCCATGTAAAGGGAAATGATGAAATCAGTCAGGCATCATGTAACATTTCAGCCAATGACAGATCACCTATATAACAGCAGTCCTGCAAGATTACAATGGAGCTGACCTAATGGCGTCACAGCCATCTGTCATAGCACAATGCACTACTCACAAATTGGTGGTCATGCTGGTGTAAACAAACCTAATGAGCTGCCAGTCGTTCCCAAGCATAGCACATACAAATACTATTATATACAGTGTAGAACAACAAATGACCATACTACTAGTTTATGTGTTTACTACAGTTTTGTTTGTTTTGGAACTGGGGATCAAACTCAGGACCTTGTACTTGCCAAGCAGGCACAATGCCACTGAGCTAAACCCTGGCTCATATAATTTTTATCGTTACTTGAGAGTGTACTTATTTTTCTTTAAAAAAAA